TAGACCTACCTGAAAAACTAAAAAGCAATTTATTTATTTGAAGGCCTGTCGTTATTTTTTTATTTGTGCTATCATTATTAATTTCTTTATTTGTTCTTATTTTATTATTGACTGCTTACTTGTCATTTTTATTCAATTCAAAGTTTGAAATCAAGCTATCTCGTGCTACTGCACCAAAATTACCCCACTGTAAAATTAAAAAAACACTGAGTTAGCAAAAATTTGTGAGATAGCTAGTTATAAAGGTAATTAAATAATGTTTACATATGTATAAAAGCCTACATTAAAATCTGTCATATAAATTGGTCTCTTCATTAGAAATTAGCCTACTGATTGCCACCATTGATGGACACATTTTGTTTCAATAATATTAAAAATATCTGTATGACATTAAATTCTGCAGTTCATCCCTGTTGTACCGAATATCTATACTTTTCAAATTATCATATCGAAGTTAGAAATTCTAATATTGTGACAAAATAAATTTTGTAGGGTGCCACAAGTTTGTTAAAATTTCCAAAGGGTGCCGCGACTAAAAAAAGGTTGGGAAACACTGACCTAGAACACTGTCTACCACTTGATGGCTGCTCTGTCAATTCTTCATCATCCGTCAGGAACCTAGGTGTGCTGTTTGATAGCAATCTTTTCTTTGAAGCCACGTTTCTAGTATTTGTAAAACTGCATTTTTCCATCTCAAAAATATATCAAAATTTTGACCTATGCTCTCAATGTCAAATGCAGAAATGTTCATGACCTCAAGGTTAGATTATTGTAATGCTTTATTGGGTGGTTGTTCTGCACGCTTAATAAACAAACTCTAGATGGTCCAAAATGCAGCAGCTAGAGTTCTTACTAGAACCAGGAAGTATGCCATATTAGCCCGGTTCTGTCAACACTGCACTGGCTCCCTATTAAACATCGTATAGATTGTTAAATCTTGCTTATTACTCATAAAGCCCTGAATGGTTTAGCACCTCAGTATTTGAACGAGCTCTTACTACATTATAGTCCTCCACGTCCACTGCGTTCTCAAAACTCTGGTAATTTGATAATACCTAGAATATCAAAATCAACTGCGGGCGGCAGATCCTTCTCCTTTTTAGCACCCAAACTCTGGAATAACCTACCTAACATTGTTCAGGAGGCAGACACACTCTGTCAGTTTAAATCTAGATTAAAGACCCATCTCTTTAACCTGGCTTACACATAACACACTAACACATTTCTAATATTCAAATCCGTTAAAGGATTTTTAGGCTGCATTATTTAGGACAACTGGAACCGGGAACACTTCCCATAACACCCGATGTACTTGCTACATCATTAGAAGAATGGCATCTACGCTAATATTAGTCTGTTTCTTTCTTATTCAGATGGTGGATCAGCACCTAGAGAGGACCTCGACAGCCCTGAATGTCAGCGGAGACCAGGACAACTAGATGAGCCCCAGACACAGATCCCCAGTGAGGACCTTGTCTCCTAGATGGCTACCGGGACAAGAGGGAGTCCTCTGCACAATGTGACTTTGCTGCAGCCTGGAATTGAACTGCTCGTTTCGTCTGGTCAGAGGAGAGCTGGACCCCCGACTAAGCCTGGTTTCTCCCAATGTTTTTTCTCCATTCTGTCACCGATGGAGTTTTGGTTCCTTGCCGCTGTTGCCTCTGGCTTGCTTAGTTGGGGACACTTAATTTCCAGCGATATCGTCAACTTGATTGCACAGATACTATTTAAACTGAACTGAGATGGATGATGACATCACTGAATTCAATGATGAACTGCTTTTAACTGAAAACTGAGTGTTTACTTTTGTCACTTTGCATTACTGACATAATATTTTCCTAATTAATGCTGTACAGTTGCTTTGACACACTCTGTATTGTTAAAAGCGCTATATACTGTAAAGGTGACTTGACTTGACTTGACTGAAAAGGCATTGACACAGTTATTTTTGCACCTTGCCTATACTGAATATGCATTTGTAGGAGTTTCCATTTCAGACGCAAAATTTATGGGAGGAGAAAATGAATCACACAGCGCAATATAATAACGTTTGTACTCATCAAATTACTGGTATTTGTGCTGGTCATTATGGAAATGATTTGGCTGCGTCTGTGTTCTTTAATGTGCGCATTGTCAGTAAATCACTCGCATAACTTTCTCCTCCCATCGGTGCTTTTATAGAATTGTGTTCTAACACTAATTTGCCCAGTTTAGTAAATCTGGCCCTTAATGTTGTGTCAGTGTATGTCATGTGTTAATGCATTATAACATAAATAATATATCATTCATATAAAATAAGTATAATAAATATCTACAAGCATAAGCCAGGTGATTTTGTATAGGCCTACAGGGGATTGACTTTATTGTTTTAAATAGTCCCTTTGCTAACAGATGAACATCGCTAAAATCTAACACACCTTCCTGAGAATGAAAAAACAGAATTTGCTCAAAACGTATGTATCTGAGGTGTCCACATACACCATATTAATGTCATAATGCATTTAAATAGGCCTACACTATTATGTCCTTGTAAACCATATACACTACTTTAACATAATCCTAATTGTCATTAAAAAATATTTTTGTCATTGACTAAACTACCAGTGTTCATGTAGTCTAAGATATTCATCCAAATTTATTTTTTTGTTTTTTCCTGTATCATCTTTTGACCTACAGTGGGGCAAAAAAGTATTTAGTCAGCCACCAATTGTGCAAGTTCTCCCACTTAAAAAGATGAGAGAGGCCTGTAATTTTCATCATAGGTATACCTCAACTATGAGAGACAAAATGAGAAAAAAAAATCCAGAAAATCACATTGTAGGATTTTTAAAGAATTTATTTGCAAATTATGGTGGAAAATAAGTATTGGGTCAATAACAAAATTTAATCTCAATACTTTGTTATATACCCTTTGGTGGCAATGACAGAGGTCAAACGTTTTCTGTAAGTCTTCACAAGGTTGTCACACACTGTTGCTGGTATTTTGGCCCATTCCTCCATGCAGATCTCATATAGAGCAGTAATGTTTTGGGGATGTCGCTGGGCAACACGGATTCTAGAGGGAAAAGATTGCTATACAGGGGAAGGTTATAATCTGCAGGATAATTTAATTAGTACAGTGAAGCATTGTTTATTAATCAATATGATTGTCTCTGGCTTTTAGGACATATGTACCAGTCAAGTCACGGATCGCTGCCAATAAGGACAAGGTTAGTGGATTGTGTGCCATTATTAAAAAATTAAAAAGGGGGGCTTTTTGACTCGTTTGACTAGTTTTGATCTGTTCTTACTTTTCTTCTTTATTCCCATTTTTAGAGATTTGATTCATGATCTTTTCACAGGTTTTAATCTACAACCCAAGCTTTTTAAAGTATGTATATGACTCGTGGCTAGAGGGTCATGGGAGATATCCATCCACTGGATTCCTTTCACTGATGTTTGCAATTCACATTTGTGATGAGGTATGTTAATTTTAGTTGTATTGTTTTTCTTTCTTCCGTGTCTTCACTGGTATCAGTTTAATAATTTTCTGTGCTTTGAGGAGCGAGTTTCACTCCCATTCTAAAATGTATATACATTTAAAATGGGAATATCTCCCCCTTGTGGAACCAGCCCTCTGCTGCAACTGTGAAACAGTTCAGCAGTTTCAGTTCTGCTGAAACAGATTATGTGGTGTACAGCTATGTTGATTTATCAAAACCCAGACTGATAGATCTTACAACCAAGCTTAGTTGTCATTAAATTAGAAAAAAAAGGTTTAATGTTAAAATAAATTAATAAATTCTACTACTACTATTGCTACTGCTGCTGAAATTACTATTGCTAATAAAATAATCAATACATAATGATGATTGTCTAAAAGAACGGCTTTCAGTCTTAAAGCCTATCTGCTCTGTTGGATGTAGGTGAATGTGTTTGGATTTGGTGCTGACCAGGATGGAAACTGGCACCATTACTGGGAGGACAACATGCTGGGAGGAGCATTCAGACACACAGGCGTCCATGATGGAGACTATGAGTACAACATCACACTGCTCTTAGCAGACAAACACAAGATCATGCTCTACAGAGGAGGCTGAGCTCACACATGGAATTTTCCACAAAGCCTTAACAGAACAGAACTACCACAAGACGGGCCATTTGAGCACTCATTGCCATTTATGTATGGATTGAAAGCTTTAGAGATTTTGTTTGATTTTATTTTTTAATTTACTTTTAGAATGAAAATAAAAAACACTGACTGATAGCGTTAATATTCAAAGCTATTTTTTGCACATAATTCAAGATGTATTTAATACTTCTTTTCAATCATTCTTCTTTGTCAGAAACATAATAGCACTCACTTTATTAATGTTTTACTCTACTGTTCAGTTTGGGAGGGGGTAGTATTTATAGTATTTTTTTTTTTATGTATTTGCCGCTTACAAATAATTTATATATACATCTTTATAAAAAAAAAGCAAAATTTTATGTAAAATTCACTTTACATTTCTCAGTTTTATTCATTGTGATAACATGAGTAATATGTCGTGGTTTAGTGGAAGATCTCGGTAAAGGGGTTAAGGAACTCTAGGTTCAGGCACGCCAGATATGCATTACCATACTTCAGCTAATTATATGTCAGCGTGAACTCATGAAACATGCTGTTTTGTATTTTATGTATACGTGTTTGTTTGTGTTCATCAGCCTAAATTAGCCACAATACCAAACATTGCACAGAAATTAAAAGGAGAGTTTGAAAAATTGTCAGGTAAGACCTTCTTTCATCTTTGGAACTCAAATTAAGATATTTTTGAGGAAATCTGAGAGCTTTCTGACCCTGTATAGACAGCAACGCAACTACTAGGTAGTAAGGACATCGTTAAAATAGTCCAAGTGACATCAGTGGTTCAACCTTAATTTTGTGAAGCTACAAGAATACTTTTTGTATGCAAAGAAAACAAAAATAAAGACTTTATTCAACAACTACTCTTCCGTGTCAGTCGGCGAGCGTTCACTAGAGTACCACGACACATGCGTGTGATGCTGCTGATGCAGGAGCCGGCATTCTGACGTAGAACCTGCATGTGCTGCACCATGTTTGCAAGCAGAGGAAAGCACATGCATGTATCATGGTACTGTCGTAAAGGAAACAGGAAGCATGTAAATTGGGTTATTAAATTGAAATGTGTGTTGATAGGCTACATGGATTAATTCATATGAGTTCATATTTTAAATGCCTTCTTTTGCCAAATAACAGTGCCTTGTTTTAGAAAATGTGTTATTAATAAATATATGAATTAATTAATTAATTAAATATTTTTTATTCATTTTCATTTTCCAAAACACCATGTCTGTCTTTTGTAAGTAGTGTTTAATTCAGTGGTAATTTTCACCAAACATATGTTTTAATGTATGACAAATAAATTAATAAACAAACTGTTTTGCTTCTAGTTTTGTATTGTCATCACTCGATCATCACTATGTAAAAATTGCATCAATTTTATTATTGTTATTTTGCCTACAGAAAATGACACTGAAATGTGTAAAACACCTCCAAATAAATAAATAAATAACACAATGCGTAAGACTTCCCTGTGAATTTAACTTATACTAAAAACATGAGAAAAGAACAAGATGCTGGTGTCTGAAGCATGTGTGAAAACATGTAAAGTCTATTGGCCAATAGCAAGACCATAAATTGGCACCTAAAGTCTCAGTAGGAGGAGACTATTGACTGTGCCTGCAGATCTTCTACTCTTTTTAGCAACATCATTAGTAGAGTGAATTTAGATTATGCTGCGTTACAGTAATAATATTACTTTTTCCAGTAACGAGTAGTGTAATCAATTAATAATTATATTTCATACATCATAATATAGTAACCATTCAAGCATATAGCTTGTTACTATGTTTTTGTTGTTTCAATTACAACTTACAATTTACAAACAATAATTATAACTTCGTAATTTATTTAGCGCCCTCTGTTGACAGTCTTTTTAGGCCCGTTGCTTCTTCCTGGAGCATAGGCCATCGACGACTGCTCTCCAGCATTTTCTATTCTATGCTACCATTACCAGCTGGCCCCATCCCATTCCTGTGAGCTTGACTTCTGCATCCAGGTCTCGGCGCCAGGTGTTCCGTGGCCGTCCCCTTTTTCTTTTTTCCTTGCGGGTTCCATGTCAGAGACTGTCTTATGATATTGGATACTGATTTTCTCAAGGTGTGGTCAAGTCATCCCCACTTCCTTCTCAGGATCTGTCCTCTGCCACAAATCGGTGTTAATGTTGGCCAGTAAATTGAAAGAATCCAGCAGAGACATTGATTGATATACTGTAAAACCTGGTAAGTTAAGAATAATCAAAACATTTGAGAAAACTTATTGCCTCAAAATATTTGAGTTAACAAACTAAATTTTTTTAAAGTTAGTAGAGCTTAACATTTTATGTCATCTGCAAAACCAAGGTCATCCAGCTGACTCCACAGTGTCCATTGTATCCCATTTTTCTTCCCACTGGTTGTAATCTTCATGATCCAGTCAATAACCAGGAGGAAAAAAAACAGAGAGAGCAAACAGCCTTGCCTCACTCCTGTCTTGACCTGGAAGCTTTCTTTCAGCTGCCCATCAGCTGCCCATCATGCACCACTCTGCACGACATCCCTTCATAGGAATTTCTGATCAAGTTTAAAATGTTCTGTGGGACTCCATAATGTCATAATAACTTTTACAGTGCCTCTCTGTCCATGCTGTCAAACGCCTTTTCATAATCTACAAAACTGAAATACAGCGATGAGTTCCACTCAATGGACTGTTCCACAACAATGTGCAATGTTGCTATATGGTCTGTGCGTGACCGGTCTTGTTTCAACTTTGTTTCAACTGGCCCTTTCAACTTTATCCTTAACTGGGCGTTCTGCTAGCTGGAACTTCCCTGCAAGCTTCTTCATGGTGTCATAGAGCTGCTTCATGTTTCAGCTTGCTGCTGCTTCTTCTGCCTGCTTGGTGTGTCCCTACACATACTCTCTCTTGTCTCTTCTCACACTCTTTTTCACTTCCCTGTTTGCTTCACTATATTCGTCCTGTGCCTTTGCTTTTGTCGCTGTGGTATGGCTGGTGTTAAATGCTCCCTTTTATTCTTCCTATCTTGGATTTTCTTGTAGGTCTCTGCTGACATCCAGTCTTTCTGCTGTGACATTCTCCTTCCAATGACCTCCTCATAAGCCCCGATAACTGCCCCTTTATAGCTCCTCCACTGGCTCTCTAACTCTGAGCAGTCTTCTTCGTGCAGTTCTTGGAGGGCTTGGAACCTGTTGGTGAGCGTCAGCTTGAACTTTTCCTTTATAGCTGTGTCTTTCAGCTGTGTTTTTCTTCTGTTTCTCTGTCCAGTTTTTCCTCAGTTTGAGCTTCAACTTTGCCATCAGAAGTGGTCTAAAGCGACATCTGCTCCTCCCTTAACTCGGACATCCAGCAACGACTGTCGAAACCTCTTTGAGATACAGATGTGGTCAGTCTGGTTATCAGTCACATGGTCTGGTGATATGTCGCCTGGTGTATTCTCTTGTGTTGGTAGATGCTCCCGCCAATCACCAAGTTGTTCGTGGCACAGGTTTTGGCAAACTGCTCTCCATTCTCGTTCATTTCTCCCAGGCCGAACTGTCCCATGAATTGTTCAAAGCCTCTGTTATATTTGCTTATCTTGGCATTGAAATCGCCCATAGAGATGGTAATGTCCTTATTGCTCAGCTTTTCCAGAATGCCACTGAGTTGGCTGTAAAAACTGTCCTTATCGTCTTCGCTACGGTCATTGGTTGGTGAGTAGCCTAGCACCACATTCATCTTGATGTACTTGTTCCTGGTCATGAAGGATGCAGTCATATGTCTTGGCCCTTTAGCATCCCAACTGATGAGTGCTTTCTGTGCTTCTTTCCCTAGCGTGAGGGTAACTCCTTCTGTATGTGGTGCTCTGTCTTCTTCATGTCCTTAAAACAAGATAAGTTCTCCTGTTGTCAGTCGTCGCCAGCCGGACTTAGTCCACCTGATTTCACAAAGTCCAAGAAGTTCAAGGTGATAACTGCACATTTCTGGTGCTATTTGAGCCACTTTCCCTGTCTCGTACATTGTTTGTACATTCCAGGTGCCTATTTGTGTAATTTTTCTGGTTGACAGAAGGGTACTCGGTGCTGCAGCTTCCTTTCGGCTTTCACTGCTGCCCGTCATAAGGCTTCTGGACTAAGTTTCTTTCTCTCCTAGGTCGTTTTGGTTTCTTTGCTGTTAGTTTGTCATCGATGTTTCTGTAGCATACATTCTTTTTACGGGGTGGGGTTGCTGGGGTTCTGTCAAACGGTAGAACTGAACATTTGAGTTGTTTTAGTAATGGTTATATTAATAATCAATGTTATCTGAAGTTTTTAATAAAAAAGTAAAAATGCAAACCAGTGAAACGTTTCAAAAGATGTATGTTCTGTTTCAAAGGATCTATGCACAAATCATTTAAAATCAGTTTAAAAGAGCTTGTGTACATTGTCAGACTAAAACATTCACAGCTTTGAAAACAAAGGAAAATCCCAAATAACAGCATAATCATTAACAGATTGTTCAATAACTTGGGTTATGAGAAGTGCTATTGCTAATAAAGAGCTCTTGATAATGAAAGTTCAAAAGTGAAAATGTATGTTTTTAAAGACTTTACTGCTAATTTGAGAACTCATGTCAAAATCCAGCTGTTAGTCACTGATTCCAAAAATGTACAAAGCAAAATGTATGGCATTGCAGTCAGGAGCATAAAATATTGGAGACAATAGTGATAACATGCACTTTCAACAATTGCTGAAAGAATTAAATCAACCAAAGTCAAGGGCACCGTAATGGAACCACAACAAAGTCGAATCACCATAATGGTGACTTCAATCAGACCATACAAAAGAAATATAGACAAAATGGTTTATAATAATTGAACATTGAGATTATGTTTTCAGAGATGTTTAAGCATGTTCTGGTGAGATATCATTAATTTAATTTGCAGTTGATTTCATATAAGGTTGTGTGACTGTTAGTCAGTTGTAGTTGTGCTGTCTGCACATCTCTTCTCTTTTTTTTCTTTTTTTAACACTGTAACACTGATTCAGTGTTACTTTGACTCTATGAATTAGGACCATATGAAAACTGAGCAGTGTTCAGGTTTCCTGAATGTATATGCTTATCTGTGCCAACTGAGATGAAAATTAATCATCAGAAGATAGTGTTTTCAATAATTTACAGCCAAGCTAAATACAAAACAATATTTTACAAAGAAAATAAAAATAAATTTATAGTAGCACATATCATCGGCTTTGATCATTTGAATAAGTATATTTTTTGTTGGTTTGTTTAGAAGTGTCTCTTAGTTTCCTATGATATCTAAATGTCAAAAGACGTACAC